AATCCCTTGTAAAAAAAAACGATACGCGAGGATTTTTTGATTCTAACATAGCACTGTTTCACGACCCCCTTGCAAAAATGGGACGAAACGCACACGTGCGCGTCGTCGCGCGCGCATGCCGGAATCCTTCAAAAACCTTCGGTGTCGGAAGGATTTCGCAATCGAGTTTCCAACACACATACAAAAACACAGGGTTTCGCAACACTGACTTGCTAAAAAAGCCTACGCGCGAGCTCTTGCGAAATCTTAAGCGAACCATCGGTTCTTCAAGATGTTCACAAACTGCTACCAAGCGGGCCTCGGGCGCGCGCATGTCGAAATCTGTCGAAGGCCATGGCGCGTGTGCCGTCGCGAGAATCCTCTGCAAAACAATTAAGCGAAGTGCAGACGCGCGCGCCGTCGCGCGCGCATGCCGAAATCCTTCAAAAGCGATCGGTTTCGGAAGGATGTCAACATCGTGTGTCCAAAAAACCTACCAAGAACAAGGTTTGGCAACACAGATTTTGAACACAAGCGTGCGCGCGCGCTCTTGCGTCGTCGTCGTCGTCGTCGTCGTTGTCGTCGCCGTCGTCCCTCCTCCCGCGTCGTCGTCGTCGTCGTCGCCTACGTCGTCCTCTGACTTTCCTCGTGTTCGTCGTCGTCGTCCTCTTTGGCGTCGTGGTCGTTTCCGTCGTCGCTGTCGCCGTGGTCGTCCTTCCTCCTCCTCCCTCGTCGTCGTCGTCCGTCGTCGGAGTCTCGTCGTCGTCCCTCCTATTTCGTCGCCGTCGTCGTCGTCGTGTCGTCGTCGTCGTCTTCCCTCCTCCCTCGTCGTTGTCGTCGTCGGCGTCGCCGTCCTTCCTCCTTCTTCGTCGTTCGCGTCGTCGCCGTCCTCCCTACTCCCTCGTCGTTGTCGTCGTTGTCGCCGTTGTCGTCCTCCCTCCTCCCTCATCGTCGTCTTCGTTGGCGACGTCGTCGTCGTCGTCTTCGTCGTCGTCGTCGGCGTCGGCGTCGTCGTCTTCGTCGTCGTCGACGTCGGCGTCGTCGTCGCCGCCGTCGTCGTCGTCGTCGTCGTCGGCGTCGTTGACGTCGTCGTCGTCGTCGGTGTCGTTGTTGTCGTCGTCGTCGTCATCGTCGTCGTCGTTATCATCGTCGTCGTCCTCGGCGTCGGCGTCGTCGTCGTCGGTCTCGTCGTCGTCGTCGTTGTCGGCGCGGACGCAGGGATGCACCAGCCGACGCCAAGCATGCATCGAAAGCGCCACCGCATGGGTTTTGCAAACCAAGTTGCGGGTGGGTGGGTGGGATGTTTGCGCGAGCAGTGGAGGTGGTCAAGCGAGCTGCAGGGTAGCCAATTGCACCACATAGATTGCACCACGCCGGTTGCATCACATAGATTGCGCACAACATAGATTGCACGAAATTGATGGCACAACATAGATAACACAACATATATATGACACCACATAGATTGCACAATGTAGATTGCACAGCATCTACTGCACAACACAGGTTGCACATGATATAAGAGAACATATACCGCGCGAAATAGATTGCACCACATCCGTCCCCTGGGGCGTCGGACCGTCCCGCCGGCCACGCGGAAACTGGGCCAGTCAATGCCTTCCACGCCAAGATGGCCCCAAATGGACTCTAAGATGCCTCTAAGACGGCCAAGATGGCCCACGATGGCCTCCAAGTCCGCCTAAGATGGTCCAAGATGGTCCGCCCAAGAAGCTTCTAAGGGCTGCCCAAGAGGTGCTCAAGAGGCCTCCAAGACGGCCCAAGAGGCCTCCGAGAGGTCCTCCAGGAGGGCCCGAAGAGGCCAAATTTATTGATGTTGCTAAGGTCTTTGACGGATTTTCGTATTTGCTCCTTTTCGGCCTTCGACGGCCCAAGAGGCCCCCAAGATCGCCCCCAGAGCGCCCAAGAGGATGGCCTCAGGACTGCTCAAGAGGCCCCCAAGACGGCCCCAAGACAGCCTGAGAAGGCTCCAAGACGCCCAAGATGGTCTTCAAGACGGCCCCCAAGTCGTTTCAAAGAGGCCCCCACCCAAGACGGCTTCCGACGGCATCAGACGGGCCAGGAGCCCACCAAGACGGCCCAAGATGGCTCTAAGCTGGCCCAAGACGGCCCCAGAGGCCTCCAAGGAAGCTTCCAAGAAGGCCCGAAGAAGCCAAACACATCGATGTTCCGTAGGTTTTTGAAGGAGTTGGGCATTTGCCTCTTTTCGGCCTACCGATGGCCCGAGACGGCCCAAGAGCCCCCAAAGATCGCCCCCAGAGCGCCCAAGAGGCCTCCAAGATGGCCCCAAAACGGCCCAGGAGGCTCCCAAAGATGGCCCCAAGAGGGCCCCAAGAGGGCACCAAGACAGCCCCAGAGGGCTCCAAGACGCCCAAGATGGCCTTCAAGAGGGCCCTGGAGCATTCCAAGGCGGCCCCAAGTCGGCCCAAAGAGGTCCCCCAAACGGCTTCCAACAGCGTCACAGGCCCGGAGCCGACCAAGACGGCCGAAGATGGCCCTAAGATGGCCCAAGACGGCTCAAGAGGCCTCCAATAGGGCCTCCAGAAGGCCCGCAGAGGCCAACATCACTGATGTGCCATAGGTTTTTGAAGGAGTTTGACATTCGCTTCTTTTCGGCCTACCGACGGCCCGAGATGCATAGAGGCCGCACTGAGAGACCACCCCCTGCGCACCCCCTCTGGTGTCGAGGAAGTGCCGCACCTGCCACGCTTTGCGATCCCGAAGCGGGTAGGAAGACCACCCCCATTACACCCCCCTGTGGTGCTCATATGTTGTGTGGTGTGCGTGTCATGTGTATGATGCGTGTGCGGCTGTATGTGGACGTATGACTCATGCGGGTGCCCAGTATGTGTTATGTGAATGAAGCGTTTGCGGCTGTCTATGGAAGTGCGTCTCATGTGGGTGCCCAACATGTGGTGCACACATCTTGGGTGTATGATGCAGTGAACACGCCAGGTGTGCACGATCGTTGTAGGGTGTGTGTGTGTGTGCGTGTGTGTGTGTGTGTGTGTGTGTGTGTGTGTGTGTCTGTGTGTCTGCGACTTGTGTGCATGCGTGCGGCTGTACGTAGATGGGGGCGTGCCGTGCATGTGTTGATCGTGGGTGAGAAAGGGAGGAAGGAGGAGGAGGAGGAGGAGGAGGAGGAGGAGGAGAAGGAGGGGGAGGAGGAGGAGGAGAAGGAGGAGAGGGGAAGGGCGAGTGTGTGTGTGTGTGTGTGAGAAGCGGGTGCGGCGAGGGTGGGAAGAAAACCATAACCTCGCGAAACGTGTGGGGAACAACCCAAGACTGCAAAAACGACGAAGACATAACCATCACCCAGAAACAACACAGAAGAAACACCCTGAGATTCTTTGTTGTTGTATTTTCCCTGCGTTTCGCAGAAACTCTGGAAGCTCTTCGAAGGAGCTGCGGAGCCGGAATTGGCGATACCCCACCGAGAGATCGGCGATAGGCTCCCGATCGCGAAGCCGCACGTCCCTGGCCGGGGTGGGCCACCGGGCCCGCCTCGGCAAGGAGTGGGCGAGCCGTGGCCGATGCATCCCGTAAGGGGTTCGCTCTCCGGGCCGAGGGTGCGGCCTCCGGGTGTGCACGTCGTTCATTGCTAGTCGTGCTCGTTTCTAATCGTGCTCGTGTGTGATTGTTCCTGGCCCCCTAGTGGCCAGGAAGACGCCCAGGATAGAACAATTTGAAGTGAAAGGATCTTCCCCCCCAAAAAAATCAAAGAACTTTCGAAGAATTCGAAATGAACATTGTGTAGATTAGGTGCCACTTTTTTTTGAGGGGGGTGAGGGAGAAGACAGGAACGCACACGATGATTCAGCAGGGGATGTGAAGCAGAGCTGAAGCAGGACAGTGAAACCTGGCAGGCCTGGCGTAGTAAACGCCTGCTGATCAGGAATAACTGAACGAATTTCCGCCCTGGCCGCTATCGCACTTAATGGTATAGATCATGTGAAATTCTTAGCGCTCTGCCGAGATAGTTCTTTGCCCGGGTGAGACTTCGACAGAAATCTTGAAGACTCGGTCGAAGGCCGCACGGGAAACAACATCTGTTTTGCCGGAGACCGCATCCCCCCCCCCTTTGCCTCACCCCTCCCGGCGCTGCCCCTGACCTCACCCCGGGCCCTCAGGCCACCGAGCTTTGCTCGTCGCGCAGCGCCCACCGCGACCCCTCTTGGCGCCCCCGCGCTGCCCCCCGAAGAGGAGCAGCCAAGAGCCTGCGCCCTGGCCGCTCCTCGGGTACAGGCGAAGTGCAAGCTGCCAGGGAGGCAGAACAAAAATGGCCCGCATTCAAAGATTGCCCTATGTTATCATCTACTTTATGGATGTTCGCCATCCCCTCCATTTCCCATCTTTTCCTAGAATTATGCAGATATTTGTGTCTGTGTCGATGTTTCCCTCCTGACGAACGCGGACTGCGGATCCGTGGACCTGGCGCGTGGGCGCCAGATCCATGGATCAGGGGCAATACCGCCCGAAGCATGCAGCCAGTGCCGCTTGATCTGGCGACGGAACTCCTCGATCTTTACATGGAAGTGGGACCCGGCGCTGATCCACGCGCCTTGACCCGCGCTCGTGTTCCCCGGACCCGCGGGTGACCCCCCGTGCTCGCCTACAGCCCTCCCCTGCAAGAGAAAGCCAGCTGTGCACCACCACCAGTCCTGGCCAGGCTTTGCGAGCTCAGGACTGTTGCTTACGCCATCGTGAAATTGCGTGTGCGCTTATGTGGGCCCGCGAAGGGCCTGACCCAGGACCGGTGCTGGTGCATTGCCTTTGTTCACCGATTCTACTGCTGCTGCCGCCGCCTCCCCCGAAATGCGCCTCCTGCCGCCGCTGCTACTGCCTGCCGCCGCTGCTGGCGGTGCTGCCGCCGCCGCCGACGCTGCCGCTGCCGCCGCCACTGCCGCCGCCGAAACTGGCACTTCCGCTGCCGCCGCCGCCGCTGCCGCCGCCGCCGCTCCTGCTGCTGCCGCTGCTAGCTAGCCGCCGCCGCCCCGAGACTCCTTCGTCGTCGCGGTGGACGTCTCCGTCGGCGCGGTGGACGTCTGCGTCGGCGCGGCGGACGTCGAGGTCGGCCTCAGGGCCTCGCCAGGGGCGCCGAGAGGGTGGTCCGTTGGGGTCGCAGGTGCATCGCCAGCGAAGCAATAAGAACTCGCCGGGTTGGATGTACGCCCCGCCTCCCCCGGATGCACAATAAAAAAACGGCGGACCGCCCTTGGGCCCAGGGACTCGGTCGCCCGGTATATTCCACATACACACACATATATATAGACACACATGTATGCATACATGTATATATATATATATATATATATATATGTGTATATATATATACATGTACATAGGTATGTATATACATTTGTATGTGTATATCTATGCATATATACATATATATGTATGTATGGGTGCTCGCGGGACGTCGAAGAATGCGAGACGTGGGGCCCTCCGGCGTGGGAGGTCTCACAGATGTTGGCCCTGTAACGGCAGCTGCTGCAGGACCAGCGGCTGCTGCAGGACAAGGTCGAGCGATACCGGCCAGGGTACGCTGATGGCGCTGGGCATCTTCAAGGTTCGTCAACTCTGGGGTCAGCCCATGCTCGAAGCCAGAAGATTTAACGGAATGTGCTCCCTAGCAGCAGTCTTCTTAGACATAGAAGCATGGACCACACATGAAGCATGCGGCAACTGGGGAACGGGATACGGAGCCATGGTGAGCCACGAGATGGCGCACAATACGTACCCCAACCAACGCCCCACTCTTATCCGATATGGGCCACATGGAGACCCCAAGAAACATATATACTACGCTGGGGTTGCATTGTAGGCAGTGCTCCTGAACATGATCCATCGAATCCGCGTTCGCATGAGATGAGCCGAAAGCTCTTCACACAACAATGTGTTTCGCACTGCCACCTGACAATACAACGACAGCACACCACACGCACACACACACACCTATAGATAATACGAATAAGCTGCTCGCTGGGAGTGCGCCAACCGAAGAAACGACTCTGAAGGCCCTCCCTCGATACCCTCCTTAGGCTACGACTTTTATCACGCGAAGAACATCACCTCAATTCATGACTGCCGCATCTATCGCCGCATTGCTCATGATCCTTTGCTCTGGCATGTCGATTCGCCGCCAACATCGGCGGCGTCGCAACCAGGATTGGCAATGTTGTCGCCACCAGTGCCGCTTCCAACGTCTCCGCTGATGCTGCCAACGCCGCTGCTGGCACCGCCAACATCACCGCCAACATTATCGTGGGCGTCAATGCAAAGCAGCTGCGCGAGGGACCACAAGCTGTGCGCTACTGGCTCCGTTGCCGTGTCGGGCTCTTCGAGACTTGACATCTGAATGCTTTTGCAACGCCTCTTGCCCTCCTCGTCCAACACTGAATGGTGCTCGGGCGGGAGTGTGAAGCCGTAACGCGAGAAGGACATCAAAGCGTTCTCTTCGGGCATTGCATAACTCAACAGGATCTCCTCGCCCTCGGCAATGTCACGCACGGCCTTGAGGCATACGGTCTCCGCGTCTTCGCGCTTGTAGATCAGACCAACATTGATCTCCTCTGGGATGCCACTGTTGGCCATGTCTATGAACGGCAACACGTCGACCCCACGGAATCTGCGAGAGCGGATGATCACATGCGCGAGGTGGAACTCCTCGTGAGACACGGCACTTTCGCCTGCCGCAGCCCGGTACTTCTCGTAGCACGGCAGAACTTCGCTAGCCCACTGGGGCCAATAACTGAAGTTGTTGAGCTGAGCGTTGCCCTCCAAGAAGGCGGGATGATACTGCTGCATCTCGGATTTTGGTGTGAGGACCCCGAAAAATGGGGCCCAGACCGACTTGCTGCCCTTTCTCATCTCCTCCGCCATGTGCACCAGCAGCTTCGTATTACCCTCGCACGCGGCGGCCAGGCGCCGCACGCGCTTGGTCTCTATACCATCCTTGAACCAACACTCTTGTGGCAAGCAACCAATGCGCTCGCCCCTCCTGATTCTGCGCGCCGCGCCTAAGCCCCGCACGGCGATACCGCCCTTGTCGAAGTAGTCCAAGAATACTTTGTCCAAATCTTCAGCACCGCAGTGATCTTCCAGCCATGCGCAGAACTTTCCCCACTTGGGGTCTGCTGCTTTGCGTGTACAAGCGTTCGCTCTCTTTGCTGGCAGAGGGTTCGCTGTACACGCTGCAGCCCAGAGCAATATTCCAGATGCTGTGCCTACGTGGCACGGTCGCGAGCCCAAAAACGGCAGACCGTCATCGGGCCGCCGACGCGACATGGGTCGCACGACGGTGGCAAACCCCAAGCCGATCCAACCTGAACTGGAAATCTTGATCCAACATGGGAACCGGCCCCCGCAAAGGCATCTGGAGGTCCCTGATGCCTCTCCAGAGGTTTCAGGAGGTCCCTGGAGGCCTCCGAGAAGCCCCAGCGCTTCAAAACACTTCCAGGAGGGTTACGACAAGGCCGACGTCCACACGCCTGAGCGACGACGGCGGCGGCGGACCCGGACCCGCCGCTCTCGGAGGCTCAGCTAGAGAGGTGTCGTCGGCGCCCAGACTCTCACCAGGGGTGTATCTAGGGCGTCCAAGAGAGGGGCGTCCAAGAGGGGGTTTCGCAAACCATGGCACGATCCATGTGCGCGGCACGGGGGGGGGCCAAGGGAATTATTGAAGTTAAGAAGAGGCGTCGAGAAGTGTGAGGGTTTCATGGCCCTGGCCATGATATCCGCCACCTAGTCATCACCAACATCTTGGCCGCCCTCGAGTGTGGTCCGTCCTGTCTTCACAGCCGCCGGTGCCACGATCCACGACGACACCCCACAGCTTCAAGGGTCGAGATCCAAGGACCAAGGATCGATTTGTTTGGGCTTTGCCTGCTTCGGGGCTTTGAAAGCCTCAAGGAGGGGCCTGCGGGGACCTGGAGCAATCCGCAGGTCCGCGGACACATCGACAGTGACGCTCGGAGAGTTAGTTTGCAACTGCCGCAAAGTGGAACTGAGATTCTCCCCTGGCCCGACTCCCCTCCTTTACAGTACTATCTCTCTTCCCGACTCTCTCTGTCCTCCACCCCGCATACACATTTAGACAATATAGTGATACCGGAGAAAAATCCCAATCGTAATCTTTTTAGGGCTACAGGGCTATGGGGCTATAGGACCATAGGGCAATATGTCTAATGGGATAGGGGTATATGGCAATAGGGCGATAGGGCTAAAGGGCTGTAGGGTATAGGGCTATAAGGCTATAAGGAAATCCAACTATAGGGCTATAGGGCTATAGGGCCATAGGGCGATTGGGCTATATTATAGGGCTATAAGGCTATAGAGCTATAGTGCTATAGGGCTACAGGGATATAGGGCTATAGGGCTAATGATAGAGCTATAGGGCTCTAGGGCTCTGGGGCTCTAGGGCTCTAGGGCTCTGGGGCTCTAAGGCTCTAGGGCTATAAGGGTATAAGGCTATAGGACACCCGGGCACCCGGGCACCCAGGCACCTGGGCACCCGGGCACCCGCGCACCCGGGCACCTGGGCACCCTGGCGGGCGGGCCGCCGAAATCGGCGACGCAGCCCCCGGGCATCTGGGCACCCGGGCGGGCCGCAAAAATCGGCGGCGCAGCTAACCTAACGGCATGAATCCGCTAGGACCCCTACAGAGGCAAGCTCTGATTGGGGAAATAAGCGTTTAGACAATATCAGAATGAGGGGGCCGAACGATCATTCATTGTCCCTGGGTGCGTGGCTGAATAGGGAATGCGTGGTGAGAATTATGTTTGCTGCGTTGTTGTTGTTGTTGCTGTTGCTATTGTTGTTGAGTTCTCATTTCTGAAGAATAATTATTGTTGGCCCCGCCCACCGGTGCACAGTGTATTTTTCAATGGAAGTGCCTTTCCCAGGGCTCGTACCCTGTTTTTTTATCAGGGGAAGTCTTGAAGCTCAAACTGTGCCCCTGGCCCCCGGATTACAACAACAACGGCTCCCACCTGAGACTTCCTCACAATTTAGCTTGGACCCCAACTCCCGCCTGAGACTTCCTCGCATTTTCTTCCGGAATCGCGTTCTCGCTTGGGAGTTCCTTACAATGTATTCAGGAATCGCTCTCTCGGCGCTCTGGAGTCGCGCTCTCGCTGGAGACGTGCTTGCAATCTGCTCAACAATAGCGCCTGTGAGTTTGAATTTCCCGCAATTTACTCCAGCGCCGCGCCCCCGACACTCAGGCACCCAGGAGTCGCGCTCACGCTTACGACTCCCTCACAGATTACTTAGGAATCGGGATCTCGCTGCCCTTCGTGGCCCCGTAGCAGCCATTCTTGGCCCCCTCGCTGCCCTTCGTGGCTCCATTGCAGCCCTTCGTGGTCCCCTCGCTGCCCGTCGTGGCCCCGTTGCAACCCTTCGTGGCCCCCTCGCTGCCCTTCGCGGCCCCGTTGCTGCCCTTCGTGGCCCCCTCGCTGCCCTTCGTAGCCCCGTTGCAGCCTTTCGTGGTTCCCTCGCTGCCCTTCGTAGCCCCGTTGCTGCCCTTCGTGGCCCCCTCGGTGCCCTTCGTGGCCCCGTTGCTGCCGTTCGTGGCCCTATCGCTGCCCACCGTGGCCCCGTTGCAGCCCTTTGTGGCCCCCTCGCTGCCCTTCATGGCCCCGTTGCAGCCCTTCGTGGCCCCCTCGCTGCCCTTCGTGGCCCCGTTGCAGCCTGTCGTGGCCCGCTCGCTGCCCTTCGTGGCCCTATATCTGTATGCCATTCGTGGCCCCCTCTCGTTCGCGCCCGTCGTGGCCCCATATGCATGCCCTTCGTGGCCCCGCTGTCGTCCTTTGTGGCCCCCTCGGTGCCTCTCGTGGCCCCGTTGCTGCCCTCAGTGGCCCCGTCCTTGCCATCCGCGGCCCAATGTACGTATGCCTTCGTGGCCCCCGCTCGTTTGCGCCCGTCGTGGCCCCATGTGCATGCCTTTCGTGGACACGCTGTCGCCCTTCGTGGCCCCCTCGCTGCCCTACATGGCCCAGTTGCTGCCCTCAGTGGCCCCGTCCTTGACTTCTGTGGCCCTTCATTATCTGTCCTTCGTGGCCCCCGCTCGTTCGTGCTCCTCGT